CTCAACTACCAACTCAGATATGACTTAAGCCATTGTCGATTATCGTACCCTTAAATTTATCAGAATATCTTTAGTATTATTTATGCATGCTTTCTTAACTACTTTATCTGCCATATAGTTATATGAATTCTTGAATCACCCACATATCCTTAAGATTTTTAAGACAAGCTTATGGAGTCTTATAATTTCTATATATTTATTTAATTCTATAAGAAACAGTGAACATTTATTTATAATTGTTATTCTAACAGGGAGATCCGATTGATTGGGTGAGCACACATCGATACCATCACCAGTTTACAGATTCGGATAGGGACCCACATAGTCCTAATGAAGGTTTTTGGTTCAGCCATCTCCTATGGCTATTTGATACAGGTTATCTTGTAGAAAAGGTAGTTAATTAAGCAAAGTTGTGATTACTAGATTATCTTACTTTAATCACAATTAAACTTGTTGACCAAAAAAATAACAACTAAACTTTAACATAAATATGTTAATGGCACAGTGTGGGAGAAGGACAAATGTGGAGGATTTAAAGAGGCAATGGTACTATAAGTTCCTTCAAAGAACGGTCCTTTACCACATTCTAGCATTTGGTTTCCTCCTCTATTACTTTGGTGGTTTGTCTTTTCTTACTTGGGGAATGGTAATATTTACGCTCTTTTATTTGCCCTTTATTTTTTAAAATTTACTTTCCAATCGATTATATCGTGAAAATAACTATATATACCCATTGCGTTTGTCTATTAATATAGTATACAGTTAATATCAACAGTAAATGATGACGAGAATTCAATAATTGTGATATTCGTGGATGTATAGGGTATTGGGGTAGCAATGGAGCATCATGTGACTTGCCTCATCAACTCTCTTTGCCATATTTGGGGAAGCCGAACTTGGAAGACCAATGACACCTCTCGTAACGTTTGGTACGTATTACAAATCTTTGATCAATCATGCATAATGCACATAGAAATGTCATTTGGTATATACGTGATTGTCGATGTCTTCAATCGTTTATTCCGTATTAATAAAAGAGATTGAAATTTCTATTCTCTCTAAAGTTAATATATATATATATATATATATATTTGAATTATATTATTATTATTATTATTATAATTTGATGCTTGAGTTGGTGAAATGAGAGACGCGTAAACCAATTACCTCTATTTTAAAAAGTCGATGAGGATATTAAATATTTTGCATATTCTCCACGGAAAATGCTCAATGAAAACTATTGGACTTTATTAAGCTGGAAAAAACAATCTCATTGTCATCGGATACCGATGAATACAAATTCGTCTGAAATGCAAACTCCATAAGACCAACTCTAAAGGCATTTAGTTCACCATGTAGATCTTTTGATTCTGTGGTCCAATTATATTTGTAACACAAGCAGTCGAAGACAAAGGTCCTACATAAATATGAAAGGTTATCCTGAGTTTAAGTTCCATGCGAATAGGTTCACTTTCAGAGTCATCCAAACTTGTTTTGGTCCCTATTTCGTTTATAGATGTACGGGACGAAAAGCCCTTTTTGAAAAATAAATAATAAATGTGGCGAGTGGCATGTGTGATATGTGTGTGTTCGTACTATATATTTATATGCGTTTTTCATGTATCAAATGCATGCATGTGATTTTTTTTTTTTTTTTTTAATTTCCCTGTATATGAGTTTTAAACCGCATCAATTAACTGGCGATTATAAGGATATATAAATTAATTTTGAAGAAACTAACCTAAGCCAAGTGGTTTGAAATGGTAAATAGGTGGCTGTCGGTATTCTCATTTGGAGAGAGCTGGCACAACAATCACCACGCGTTCGAGTCGTCGGCGAGACAAGGCTTGGAATGGTGGCAAGTCGACATCTCTTGGTACATCGTCCGCTTTCTCGAGATCATCGGTTTGGCTACTGACGTGAAGCTGCCTTCAGAGAGTCAACGACGTCGTATGGCATTGGTTCGTTGAAGATGGAGGTTATTCGACGTCTCGTCTTTATTAAGTATTGGTTTAATGTCTACGTACGTTTAAAGTTTTTGGGTGAACATAACACTTGTAATATTGTGCTATGCGGTGTTGTGTCGTACGTCTTGTCTTGTCGTGTCGTGTGTGGTGTTAGAAACATGTTGCTTGATTAAGATACGTACGTTTGTTTTAATTCTTATGAACGAAATTCTAGTATGCGTAATTAAGTTAATCACAGTCCAATTTTTTTTTTTTGTGTGTGTCATCATGACACGCACATTTCCGAGTTCGAAAGTCACACCATGACAGAATATCAAATGTAAGTAACAAGAAACAAGCGGTTTGATTAGAAGCGGCGGAGAAAATTGGTTGCAACCTTTCTGAAGAACAATAGGCCGCAATTTTCTCTTCCTCTCTCTCTCTCTCTCTTTTTAACATCTTTTGAGAGAGAGATTGTAAAGAGAAAAAATGAAAAAAACAACTATATGATGGAGAGAAAAGCTTTTGTTTAGTGAATTACACAAGGTTCCGTAAAAAAAAAAAAATTGAAAATCAATGGTCTAAGAACCAAACCTAAAATGCAGTACTTTATCAATCCTTCGATTTCAACAGACTCCAAAGTCCAAACTAATCGGAAACGTTAGAGCTCGAACCAAAATTAAATAGTGATTACCTCTAGCCAAAAACTAGAGGGTATGAATATAAAGAAATTTTCATTGTCTTGACTAAAACTGATGAAAACCAATAATAAATACTATTTGCCAAAATTAACAATTTAGAAGATGCGACGACAAAAAATAATTTAGAAATTATATATCAAACGTACTGATTTATGATGAAGTAGGATGCTCTGTGAATACTTTTAAATTCATTTTAATATATGTGATCATAAAATACAACAAAAATATACTAACATACAAGCATCTAAACTTTTATAATTGTTATATTAGTATATATAGCTTTTCTTGTTAAGTAAGAGTGTATAAACAAATATAATTCCATTAACATTTGCAATGTTTTAATTGACATACATTTTATTTATTTATATAACCCTATATTTTCACAATTTAATATAGTATCACAAAATATTATAGAGGAAAATATTTAAACAATGGCCGCATCACGCAGATTGAAATTTTTTCCAAATTTCAAAACCGTAAATGTTAAGAGATAGCAAATGGGTGTTTTTTTTTTATGACGTAAAAGCATTCATAAAAACTATTCATTGAAATGTCCAGGTTTGTACATGTGCCCATTCTGCTTAACTCTTAATTCTCGGACTAACCAATCTATCGGGATCGCTACGCAAAACATTAATGAATATTAAAAAAAAAGGTTGGCCAATCAAATGGCTTTGTTCTTTTCCTAATCAAATCATCATTCACAGAAAAGGCAAATGCGAGATAAAGTGTACAAGTTTATTATCTCGTTGTTAAGTAGTGATGACTACTCAAATCCACCGTTACGATCCTTAATATCCACAACATATAAGCCTGAATGCACCAACATCTACCCCTATATATATAATCATATAACTCGTACTAGTCATATCTCAAAACACAAACCCATTAGTCCTCGATGGGTGACACCAACAAAGAGGATGGCTCAGGCTCTAGCCAAAAAATGGTACGTAAAGAAAAAAGAGCCTATATTTTTAGAAAATGGACACGGGTCGATCTAGCGAGAGCTTCAGCTGTTGGGGCTGTGCATTTCTTGTGTATCTTGGCTCCTTTTACCTATAAATGGGAAGCTCTACTGTTCGGTGTGATTCTTGCCTTTGTGACTAACCTCAGCATTACATTCTCGTACCATAGAAACTTGACTCACCGGAGCTTTAAACTACCTAAATGGCTTGAATATCCATTCGCTTATTCTGCTCTTTTTGCGCTTCAGGTAAATAACGTTTTAACCAAAACTAGAAATCAAACTATATATAACCAATATGTATTCTCAGTTATAGTTGAAATGTCATTTTCATTTCTCTTGCAGGGTCATCCAATAGACTGGGTGAGCACACATAGGTTCCATCACCAGTTCACAGATTCGGACCGTGACCCACATAGCCCTATGGAAGGATTCTGGTTCAGTCATGTCTTGTGGATATTTGACACCAGTTACCTCCGAGAAAAGGTAACACAACATTTAAAATCTCTTCAAGCCCAGCGTATGTGAATCGATCTTAATTTCTATGATCACTTCTAGTGGAAGAATTTGTAATTAAAACGGAGAAACTCTGTACGATGTTGCAATAACTAATGCCAAAAATGTAACAGTGTGGAGGACGTAACAACGTGATGGACTTGAAGCAACAATGGTTCTATAGGTTTCTTCGAAACACAACTGGTCTCCACATCTTAACATTTTGGAGCCTCGTCTATTTCTGGGGTGGTCTACCTTACCTAACTTGCGGCGTGGTAACATCTCTATTTAATCTTTGTTCAATTCATTGTTGTTACTCTGACATAATAATCATCTCGTACATGTTTCTTGCAACACAGGGTGTTGGAGGAGCAATCGGTTACCACGGGACTTGGCTTATAAACTCGGCATGCCATATTTGGGGTTCGCAAGCATGGAACACCAAGGACACCTCTCGTAACGTTTGGTATTTTACCCACACTTTAGTCTCTATAGACGTATCCTAGACATGTAGATATAAACCTATAAAAGTTCAAGAAATAAAATTGAAAAATAATAAAGACCCATAGACCTAAACCGAAACTGAGATTTGAGTTACTGGTAATTGTGGAATGGTGCAGGTGGCTAGGGCTATTCACGATGGGAGAGAGCTGGCATAACAACCACCATGCCTTTGAGGCCTCGGCTAGGCACGGTCTAGAGTGGTATCAAGTAGACATAACTTGGTACCTTATTCGGTTCTTCCAGGCTCTCGGTCTAGCCACCGATGTCAAATTGCCTACCGAAGCTCAGAAACGCAAGATGGCTTTCCCTCGTTAATCTCATCTCTCTACTTCTATCTTACTAAGTTTTCAACCTGTTTTTTTTTTTTTTTCGTTATAAAGTTATATGTACTGATCACTCACTCTCTTGTTATTTATGTAATAAAGTTAAGAATAATCTGTTCTCATGAACTTGCAAACTAGACGATCAAAACACCATTATTTTTCAAGTACATCGCACGCTGTATGAACAATGAAAACCGATATTACAGCACTATCTAGAAGGAGTAACGAACCTTGCGCCAGATGAGCTTAGAAGATGTAGTCTGGTAACTTGAGAGGGAACTCTGCGACTTCGACTTCGAATTGACTCCCTTTTGGATCTTTCAAACTAGATAACATAAAAAGAATCAAAGTTCAAGATTCCACTCCAATTTCTAGGTTTAATCATAAACTACAAACATCATCGTCCATGACCATGAAACATACCTTCCAGGGACAAAGGTGAAACATCCCTCAATGGCTCCAGTAGTTGTTGGAAAATTGGAACAACTCTCATACACAAATTCTTCTTCCCCGGCTTGTAAGAGCGGGTACTACAGATATAAACAAACCGCATTAGGAAGATGCTCATATCCATTGTTGGTCCAACATCTATTAGCACGAGGATCAACACTCGGAGAAAGTAAGGAGTTGCTAAAGTGTAAAACTATACCTCTCCTATCACAGCTTCTCCATTAACAGTATCTATTACCGCACCATCAGCTCGGATGATCCAGTGTCTCCAATACAGTTGGCAAGAGCTATGGTGTGTCCCACTCAAGATGCATCCTTCTGGCAAGAGAGACATGCGTATGGAATATGCATACCAGTATGCCGGTGGCTGATCCCGAAGGTTAGATATTTCAGGGATAAACACAGACGAAGCACGTACCTGCATTATTAAGGCTATTCAATCTACTGTACAATCCACAAAAACCTGAAACATCAGTAACCAGATAAATCCATTTGCTTACCTGCACACCATTAGTTACAGCAACAGAACACAAGGGAGGAGTCTCTGGGAACAAACAGATGCTTTTCATGTTATCTTGTTGACGGACTTTTATAGTGCCGGTTTGTAACCGCCGACCATGTTCTTCCAACCAAAGCAGCATGGCATCCTGTTGGTGATCGTCGTTGGTATCATGAACAGATCTGACCAAAGAATCGGGTACACAAGGAAGCATTTGACGGGTCGATGTGCCAGTATAAAGCTGCCCGTTTGTGCAGTCTAGGAAAAAGAATTTGAGGCTTGACACGGCGGATACAGCAACAACGATAAGGTTCAATCTGCTAGAGATACCGAGGAGCTTCATTGTTTCCTTTGTCTCCCATATCACTTCCTTAAGAGGTGGCAAGTAGACATTAACATGATGAGTATAGAAAGAGTAGCCACCTATAAGCCCAAGTGAGCCATTGGAGGAAGAAGATTCTTGGCCATCGACGAAACGGTAGAGAAGCCTCGTGGGAAGAGGAAGTTTCACTTTGAGAGCAGTCTCCACTTGTTCAAGATCATCCTCTGTGGCACCTTTTCTAAGTGTAGCCTTTGCTTCAGGGAAGTTTAAGCTCAACCATTGTTTCAAGTTGTCCCAACAACGTCTGACTCGTTTAACGAGATTCCAAGGATACATTCTAAAAGACTCCCTCCACAACTGATATGCTGTCTGAAAAGATCAAGACAGGCTAATCTCTAATGAAAAGAACCACCAACGAGGATAAATATAGAACAACAAGTGTATAGCAATCAAGACCTAAGTTTTACAGTTCAAACACTCAAAGCCTAAAACTTTGTGGAAGAAGAAAATCCATCAAATAGAAAAGGACTCGTAATTGGATCAAATTTCAGAAAAAAAAAAAAGAAGAAGAAGAAATTGACCTTGAAGGAAGGAGCAGGATCTCCATGTGGATCGAGAGGAGTAGAGATATTAAGATCAATAGAACAGAAGATCGACCAAAGGGATTCCTCGGAGGCGGAAACTTGAAGGCGTTTGCTGACACAAGCCACTCTCGCAGTGTTTTCAGGACCGATTTTGGATAATATGATGTGGAGAACCAAATCTCCAGCATCCTCTAGCCCCATGGCTTTCTTGCTTTCTCTCTCTCTCTTTCACAGTTGCTTGCTTTTGTCGGCTCTGTTTCAATCAGAAGAAAGGGGCGTATCGCATCTTCTGGATAAACATCACTTACCCTAAAACATCAATTCTTGAAATTTTTAATTTACAAGGGATTAATTGGATTTAACTAATACTTTAGGGTCTCAACTAAATTTAAAGCAAATTTCGAGGTTACACCGAAGAAACTTCTTCTAATATTGTTTTAGCGTAAGCTTTGAAATTGTCCTCTGCTCTTCTTATAAAACACAGAGCTTCTGCCTCGTCTGGAGTCTTTAGACACGCGAACAGATGCTTGTCTCTCGAGTTTCTATAATCAGGGACAAATGGCTTCTCTTGGATTTCGATCGAACCCAAAAATGGATTCGATCGAAAGAAGCACTAGCGAAATCCAGACGATGCGATTTTATATAGGCGTTAGTGACACTAGATCCGAGAACAACTTCCTCTTTGAATCCATGGATTATGACATAAGCGTGAACTTGTTGAGTATGGTGTAGTGATTTTGTTTGGCTCAGGATAGATAAAAGAGCTCTGCTTCTGTTCGCCGGAAGCATCGGTGGTAAAGATCGCCGCCGCGAGAAAAGTCAAATATATGTTACCAGCGCCACACAAAGTCATCACCTTTAATTAACAAAAGCAAAGCAAACTGAAAAATTAATAATTTAATTATAACCCTTCAAACCCAAGAAAAAAACTAATATATATGTAATAAACCTACCGACACAAAAAAAAAAAACCCGATTTGAACACTTTAATCTGTGAATTTTGTCTTTAAACAATTTTAACAAAAAAAACGTGCTTTATGTTCTTTTGTTTTGACGCTATGTGTTGTTGAGTTAAGAATTTCCTTGAAATTTCAGGGTTGGACTGTGTTAATTAATATCTTTGGTCTATCGACATTACATACTGGTTTAACATGCTGTGTATGTATGTAATTTACATACGTGCGTATGTACCTACCAATGCATGTCTTCTTCGTTTAAGAGTTTGAGATTTAAGACTGAATCAAACTTGTCAGTTGAATTTTTTCTATTTTAATATAATTTTCGTTTTATGAGACATTTGAAAGTTCCAACTTCTTTTGCTTAGTGGTTTCGGTTTTTAGGTGATATCATGTCATCCTGACCTCCAAATTCGAATGTGAATTCGTCATGAAGCGTTTGAATATTTGAAAAAAAAAAACAATTGAGAATCATAGTTGAATTATATACAAGTTTTTTTTTTTTTTTTTAACCACAATTCTTCGATTTTACTGGTTGCTTGTCTAACCAACATTTACCCGACTCTGTCACAAGTACCAAATTTCATCTCCAAAATTAAATATTAGTCAAAGATCAATAAGTACAAATAAACAACTTTTCAAGTAGACTTTTCATCTGAAGCTGGACCAGGATCTAATTAATTAACCTTTACCGGGCTTATCCCTTCTTTTTTTTTGCAGATTTACTTGTGCTATACATTGCGGTCCAAGACAAGAACCGTGTCTTGTCTTAACTTGTTTGATCAATTCCTATTCTTTTGGCTTCAAATGTTGAAAACTAAGTCTTTCCTAGTAAAAGTCAAGCCACAAGAATATCTTAGTAAGACCAAAAGCCCCAAAGTCACACAAAGATACCAATTTAACAATCAACGTACCAACACCATAATTGAAAACCTTATATATATATAGGTCATTATCAAACTAAATGTGATACAAACCAAACAAAGAGTAGAAGCCATACAACAACTTTTACGTGCCAAACAAATTAATTATTATTTTTACTTTCAATATACAAAAAAGAGAGGGAGAGAGAAACGATGATGAAAAGACAATTGATACTTGGAGTGGTTTTGCTCGGATTCTTGGTAATTTTCTTGGACACCACACAAGTCGAAGCGACTAGGCCGTTTCGAGCCGACGGTGAGATCCGATTTGTGTTTCAATTACTGCAAAGGGGTCCGGTGCCACCGTCAGGTCCAAACGGTTGTACCAACATTCCAGGAGGTTCAGGCACGTGCCATGGCTGAGCCGTCATTTGAGTCTGATTATACCTCCTGGTTATTTCATTTTTATTTTTATTTTTATTTTTTAAAAGGTTAGTGTAATAAACACAATATAGTTTTGTGTATTGATTCTATTTTGATGCAGTTCTAGCAATTATGAAAGCAAATGTATGTATTCATTAACATTGTAAAAGCTCCCAAAGCTAGTTGATGAGATTAGTTATTCTTTTATTTTGTTTATGAACTTTTAACATGTAACTTTTTGGTTTTATCATTTTATCTTTTTTAAGCATTTCTGTCTGATCAGTTTTACGTAATGTAAGTCCAGATCATAATGTCGGTTAACATGATATGATCCGATATGATACCAGCAGTTAAGAAAGAAGCTTACTTATTTCTGAAAGAGTCGGTAGATCAATAATTACAAGATTGCATGAATAATATTTTGATCAAGAATGGTACTTTCCTCATGCGTAGGACAAGATATTCCTACAAAAATGGTCTACTTCAAAATGTGAAATTTACATTTTGACTTGCGAGGAGGTTAACTGTTAGCTCTGTTATGAGTTATTTTAGTAATAGGTTTATTTGTTCTAAGAAAAATCACGTGTTATTGAATTTATTTTAAAATGGTTATCAAATTTTGTTATTTGTTATATAATTTTCGAATCCCACTGAAACAACTAAAAAAAAAAGGGAAACTTACATAACAACAATCATAACATGTCTATTCGTATTTTTCGTACTCTTATGATATCTTTCCGATCCCTAAAGGAAAATGACTGACTGACTTTTTTTATACGTCGATCTGCAACGTTAGTTAACCAGGTGTAAGAAATTGACCCTTTAATCTTTTATATAAATTAATTTTTTAAAATAAAACTCTTATTAATACAGTTTAATACATAAATAATTTGCGAAAGGTCCACAGCTCTCTCCTATTTTAGCATGAACAGTCTTATTTACAATGCAGTTTCTTAATCTCTGAAAATTTGGCCCTAGAAAAAAATATTTAATTCCTCGACCCTGAAAGACGTGAAAACAAAAGATGGCGATACACAGGGGCATGATTGTCATTTCAGATATTATTAAACCCTAGCATACTTTGGCTTCAGCACTATCCATCTGTTATCTTCCGTAGCCTTTGTCTCACCGCAACCCTACTCACACTTATCAGCTGATCGCTTAGCTGAGGTAACCGTTTCGTACGCATCTATGATCGGTTTTAATTATCGGTTGCTTATTGTTCCAGTTATATCAGATTTTACTGTTCTTTACACGTATCTCTTGGGCTTGATAGGATCGTTTATAATGCTGATAGAATTGATTCCGTGGCGTAGAGCTTCTTGATTGAGTTAATCAACATTTTCCATTGCAATTCATATGATTTGCTAATTCTCGTTTTGTCTCTTGAATCGATTTGTCTTTTGAATCGATAATTCTGCGGCAGCTGACGAAATCCGGTGTTATCTTAAAGTCCGGATATTTTCTGATTGAGATATCTAGATTTGTCGAAAAACGTAGCAGATCTTAACAGTTGTTGTTTTGTTGTGTCATAGCTTCTTCAATTTATACTTTTTATTTGTTGAACTTTGAAAAACGTTTCGATTGCTACTGTTCATTCGAGTTTACTCCCTGCCTCAATTCATTGCATCTTCTCAATCGTGTGTATATCAGCTTTGATTTTAGGAATTAATTCTTCGCTAGAGTGGAATTTTCCATAAGTTTACATTCTTAGAAAAGCAAATCCATGTTCCTCATATATTCTCTTCTGTTTCAGGAAAAATCCGACAATGCCTACCGTGAGTGTTGGCAGAGACCGTTTGTTCGCTGCCCTTGGAAAAGACTACAGTAAGTACTAAAGAAACTTTTCCTTCTTCATTTCACAAAGTCTTCCTTCTTGTTTGTTTGGTTCGATAAGTTATGTTCTGATTTCGTGTCTTATTCTTTGAATTGTGTAGCACGGGAAGAGTTTGAGGATCTGTGTTTCTCCTTTGGTATTGAGCTTGATGATGTGGTAAGTTCCTCTTTCTTTTGTTGCCTTTTTTTCGTGAATGTTTCGTGGCTTTTCTGGTTACGTTTTTTTTTTCCCTGATTAGTTTTGCATCGTGCAATGTCTAGACAACTGAGAAAGCAATAATCAGGAAAGAAAATCATATTGAATTAGAAGCTGATGATGACGAAGAAGTCATCTACAAGATTGAAACTCCTGCCAACAGGTGAAACCATCTGCATTTGATGATAGTTGTTAGAGAAGAGGAACTGAATTATTTTTTTGCATCTTAATCAATGCAGGTACGATTTGCTCTGCCTTGAAGGGCTTGCTCAAGCTCTTCGCATTTTCATCAAGAAACAGGAGACACCAACGTATAGGCTTGCTGACATTGGCAAAGACAAGATACTTAAAATGAATGTAAAATCAGAGGTGTGTATACCTTGCCTGTCGCAACAAGTAACAACCTTTTTTTTGGTTTTCTTTTCCTTCATGATTGAAGTTTCGTCTTTTGCAGACATCTCAGATTCGCCCATTTGTTGTATGTGCTGTTTTAAGAGGCGTAACCTTTGATGAGGCTCGTTACAACAGCTTTATAGATCTTCAGGATAAGCTACACCAAAATATTTGCCGGTAAATGACATTGCCAGTTTCACATACGATTGATTATTAGCTGCAAATATCGCTCTGTGGTTTGCATTGACATTTATTCCAACATTTGGCTTCTATGCTCTGCAAACGCTGAAGTATTCATCTTTCTTCGCTACATATTTCAGGCGAAGATCCCTGGTTGCTATTGGAACTCATGACTTAGATACATTACAGGGCCCATTCACATATGAGGTGAGTGGTATACTCTTTTCTACTTGTAGTATTGTCTTCTCCTCCTCCCTACTGTTCTTGTTTGGTGTCATTCCTTTAACGGAAATGATAATCATAATTGTATACAGTTTTTTTCTGTATATTACGGGGTTTATTGATACTGTGGTCCTTGCTTCTTATTTCCAGGCTTTGTCGCCGATGGATATCAATTTTGTACCTTTGAAACAAGTAAGTTACCTTTCTCTCCTGATGCCTGCTGATATAGATTTATGGTTTTATTCTTTGTTTTATTTCTCGTTGTTTATAGCATTTGCATCTTAACGCTGATACAGATATATGATCTTGTTTCTCATGTCTCAGTTTCTCGTTTCTTATAATAACAATGTATTAAAGATGGATTTATATTTGTTACCCTGGCTGATACCAATATCTTGGTGCAGACTAAGAGCTTCAGGTCTGACGAGCTGATTCAATTCTACAAGGTAAATCATGAATGAAATCTTTTTTTTTTAAACCAGAAAATTTATTACTTTCTGGTTCATATGAGCCTGAATATTTACTCTCCTGCAACATTTCTGAGATTTTTCTTCATAAAAATGGATCCTTTTTGATGGCTGTTTTCTTTTATTTCTATTAATTTTTTTTACTTTCTTGTAGTCTGATTTGAAGTTGGAAAAATATCTACACTTAATTGAGAGCTCACCCGTCTTCCCTGTTTTGTACGACAGTAAAAGGTATTTAGTGGTTCTTCGCAGTAAAATAACTTATGTTGACTGTTGATTGTTGACTGTAGATTGTTGCAGAACGGTGCTCTCATTGCCACCTATTATCAATGGTGCACATTCAGCAATTAGCCTGCAGACAAAGAATGTCTTCATTGAATGTACAGCAACTGATTTGACCAAGGCCAAGATTGTCTTGAATACAATGGTAATGCGGTTAACAAAACAACATTTACTGTGCCTACCTGATTAGTGATTCAACGATCATTCGTTTGGTTTTCCAGGTGACAACTTTTTCGGAATATTGCGAGAGGAAATTTGAGATTGAGCCTGTTGAAGTTACATACGACAATGGAGAGTCACTTATCTATCCGGATTTAGCTGTCTACGATATGGAAGTTCCTCTCTCTTCTATCAATGACATAATTGGAGTGTCTTTGGAGTTGGAAGAGGTAATGTAGGCAATCACTGCCATCAAATTGTTTGATACTTAATGATTAATGAACCATTCTCCTTTTTATTGTTTAATTGTTGATCTGGAGGTTGCAGTTGAACTAAATCTTGGCATTTTATACTGTGTGTTAAGAGTCTTTCCTCTAATCTGCTGTGTGTTCTTTCTTTATTGAGACCCCCATGATACTTATACTTTTGTTCTGTGGACTGGCTTTTGTAACCACCAGGTTACAAGTCTGCTAAACCGAATGCAGTTGCACGCCGAGTGTTCAAAATGTAGCAACAGCCAATGTCTCGTAAAAGTACATGTACCCCCAACCAGAAGCGACGTGCTCCACCCCTGTGATATTATTGAGGTAATTTTTTCATAACCAAGACATTTATACGTTCATTGCATTATGAATGATTCTGCGTACGTTAGTTAATTAATTGATCGGGCTACCTTTCGCCAGGATGTTGCCATTGCCTATGGTTACAATAACATTCCGGCAAAAGAGCCTACTTGGATAAAACCACTGTCTTCAACAGAGCTCAGAGATCTTCTCAGAACAGAGGTTTGCTTCTTTTGTCTCCCACCCGTCTACGTTTTTCATGTGAAATACGATTAGCATTTGTATCTCACAGAGGTTAATAATATCTTTGGCACTCTCAGATTGCGATGTGTGGTTACACTGAGGTTTTAACGTTTGCACTATGCTCACACAAGGAACACTTTGCAATGCTAAATAGAAAAGATGACCATTCAACTGTTATTGTAGGAAATCCTCGGTCCGCTGATTCTGAGGTGTTTTTCAAACCCTTTTGAGTGCTTTTTTCATCAACATCTTTTGCATGCATACCGGTTACTGCTTTGCCATTTGCTGAAAGAAATTTTCGTTTATTAGGTAATTAGATCGAGTCTCATGCCTGGATTGTTGAAGACAATTGCTTCTAACAAAGCTTACCCTAAACCTATCAAGGTAAGCGATTTGATTTACTCCAAGAGACTTCAAATCTAGCTACGGGTAATTGATCATTTTTTTTTTGGTTTTAAGATATTTGAATTAGATGATGTGACCTTACGGGATGAAACAAAAGACGTGGGTTCATCCAATCGCCGACATCTGGCTGCACTATACTGTGGTGTTAGTTCTGAATTTGAGGTATATGATTTGATTTCCTTTCTTTTCCCAACTCAGCTGCTTGGCTATGCATGGTGCTTAAAATCTTATCTTGAGAAACTTCTCGTCATTGTTCAGCTAATACATGGCCTCGTCGATCGCATCATGGAAGTAATGGCAGTCCCATTTAAGCCAACCGGTGGCAATGACGGTTACCATCTAGAGACCAGTGATGTAAGCTCATTTCATTACGAGTTGTAATCTATGTTTTGATTACCAAACCCTGTCGCTCTAAACTAATTTGCTCTAATCTGCCGAAGGAACCCGAGTTTTTACCGGAGAGACGATTTAGCATCATTTGCAAAGGGAAACATGCTGGTAAATTTGGAATCGTGCATCCTAAGGTACACTTTCTTCATCTTGTTTCGATAAAAAAAAAAAGGAAAAAAACCAACCTAATCGGTTTGGTTTGTGATTTGACCGTTCCGGTTTTCTATTGCTTCAGGTAATGAAAAACTTTGGCGTCACTGATCCAATGTCTTTCGTGGAGATTGACATCGAAGCTCTTCTTTAAGATTGTCTTTCTGTCAGTGCTCATTGTTGTTTTAACATTGTTGTTCTTTTTCTGGTTTTTTATTAAACTGATATAAAGAGAATGAAATTGAAGAAGATTAAAAAAATCTTATTTTCCTTGATTAGAAGAAGAAACATATACTAATTTGTTTCATGTCAATACTATTTGTATTAAATATTAACTGATTATTATGTTATATGTTTTAGTTATCTTTTTAATATACCTACAAGCAGTGGAAAAAGTTTTAAAAATTTTACATGAGTTGAAATTATAAAATAAATTAAAATAATATTAACTAATATCAATTGTGAAATTGTGGAAATAATTGGTGGAGTTTCGTCATCGTTACGAGACCCACCGATGAAGAGTTTCTCCAACGACAGCATAGTGATTAGCGCGGGAACCTAATCGACGACGAGACTGGATGCATTCTTTGCACTGCTCGCAACGTTCACGGTGCCCACGGATCTATACATTTAAAATTGCATTTCATCCCAACACTTCTCTCTTTGATTAGGAACGTTTCTGTGTTGAAACTTACTTTTTTTTCGGATCATAACTCTGCTTGTAAATGTTATTTGAACATAAATGAAATAGACAGCTTTTTGAAGCACATATGCCTTAGAGGGTCTAGTTTTATTTTATGGCTTGGGATTAATCGCGTTATAGAAATGTATTTTCTCTCTGTTTCCACTGCCTTTGTCTCTCTTCATTGTCCATACTTTAACAATCTGCAATAGTGGTTTCATCTACAAACTTCAACACTGTCCATAAAACCTTTTACTAAGGTATAAAATGGATTTTCAGAGAGTTGTTTAAGTATTTCTGAATTAGGTTATCAGTTTGAACATAGAGTACCCTTCTTTTTTCAGATTGTTTTTGTTCAGTGATGAAACCAGAGTATGTGTCTTAGCATCAATACTGTCAAATATATATAAGGTACTAATGATGTGGTTTTGGGTTTGTAAATGCAGTTGATCTAATGAAGGCTGGAGCAACAGTTATTCTGAGGAATGCAAAAATCGACATGTTCAAGGACACGATGAGAATGGCTGTAGACAAATCGGGACTCATTCAAGTCATGGATCGGATCCTGTATCTCGCGGTTACTCGAGAAGACTATGAAATGTAACTCAAAAGCCAATTCGGCAGATCGGATTCCGTTTAATGAGATCGAGATCCACCTGCGACAATGAGCGAAATGAAATGCGGATTGAGTATACATTTGGCAATGGAAACAATGGAATGTTTATCTAGAGATATGTTAAGAAGAAAAAGAACTTGTGAGTTACCTTGTGACCAAACAAATCTCGGATGTTGTCGATACCGTATAATATCATTGTCGGTCTGGTGTATTAACAAACAAATCAAAGAAATAAAATCGGTAATGAACATGACATGTGTTGTAAGGGGATGCAAAAAAACTATACCTTTCAAGAGAAAGACCCCAAGCTATGACTTGGACATCCTCAGGGAGACCCATTGGTCGAAGCATTTCGGGTCTGAACATTCCGGAGTTTCCTATCTCAACCCACACCCCTAAACCTTCATGGTAGCTGAAAGCCAAGACCAAACAAAGGTTTTACCTTCTTGTCTCTCTGTTTGATGCAAATTTACAGGATTATATAGTTTTCATCACTTACCTCATGATCTCCATGCTTGGTTCTGTGTAAGGGTTGTAAGCTGGCTTGAAGCGCAACTTTGAAATCCCTGAAAAATATGATTAAATGCATGAGTTTTAGTTTCCCTCTTGAACCAAAATTAAGAGTCAAACGGCAAAATTAAGAGTCAAACGGCAAAATTAAGGAAACTTTTACCTAAGCGTGAGTAGAAGACTTTTAATACACCAATCAGGTCTCCCAACGTAAGACCCCGGTCACATATTAAACCTGATAAAAACATGAGATATCATTTAACCGACTGAATATGCGAATTCAAAATTTTGACAGCACACGGTGCTAGCTTTGAAATAATTCCCAACTGATACACAATGCCAATCAGTACTATACCTTCAATTTGATGGAACTCTGCCAGATGGGTTCGATCAACAGCCTCATTTCTGAACACACGGTCAATCGAAAAGTACTTCTTGGGGGCAAAAGGTTTCTACAGACAGATAGCAGAAATCTAGTTATACTACTGAAATTTGGAAACAACTTTCTACAACCTGTAAGTTGCTAGCAAGTAAAGAGAACCACTTGGAATATGACACAGTTATGGATTGCGAATTGAAACGCCAAGCTAAAGTCTAGTTAGACCTTTGCTATTTCATAAAGCATCCTAGAAGAGACAGCTGTAGTGTGGGTACGGAGAACATTCTTGTTTGCTTCTTCTCTCTTCCAATCATAATTATACCTTCAATGCAAAACGCCATGTCGAAGTGATTACGAACTAGTTACAACTAATACGAGGCAGTAAGCAGAGATACAAGTCATTTACCCTCTTGATCCATATCCACCAGACTCATGAACACGCTTCACCCTCTCAACATAATCTTCTGGAAGTGTCCTTGTAGTAGAAGGAGCTACATTCAAAGATTTACACCTTAAAAGTTAGATAGTCGTTGGGATGTCATCAAACAACCGAGAAAAAGCTGTCCGAAAACAAAATCAGTGACCAAGTACACAAGCTTTGAACCTTTTAGAAAGAAGGTGTCGTGAGAATCACGAGCAGGGTGCTGCTGAGGCTGGAATAATGCATCAAAATTCCAGAAGCTACATTGTATAGGAAACAGGTTCAGATCAGCCGACAAATAGCAAGAACAAGTGTTTAATAAGATCTCCTTAAGCCTTATATACCTGCTCTCCACATAATTATTTGTTGGCATCTCCTCAAACCTGTTATCACAGAAGGCTCAGCATTAATATTGACCAGCAACAGTAAAAATAAAGAAATTACAATATATGCCAGGAGTCTGTCTCACCCCATCTGAACAAATATGTCTTTAAACTGCTTCCGCACCTGGGACACGAGGGAGGGAAAAAAAAAAGCTTAAGCGGTTTGTTAGAGAATAAGGTTACCCAAATCCTACAGATATACACTTGAGCTATACGAAACGCCGAGCTTACACAAGAGGGATACAACGATTTGTTTTTGTGTCAGGGTACCTTGAGAAGGGGTTGAAGATGACCAGACTCAGGAGGCACTCCTTTAGCATTGATGTTATACTCCTTAAACTCTAACTCTTCCCAGCTGCAGTAAAGTACCAATCTTATTGCATATTTTCTACGAATACAGTTGCAAAGAAGCGAAGGAATAGAACAAACATTTCTACGTTTCCTCGAGTCAAAGTGGTGGACAAGTTCTTTCTCTTGGGAGCATAACGAGGACCTTTCTTTATGGAACTATACCCTTTCCAGTTCCTGAGAAGTAGAAAGGATGTAAGAGCTTGATAAAAAAAGTGTCACAAAAGAAAAGTGGTAAGCAATTACCGTGACTCTGTGAGGTTTTTTTTTCTCTCATTGATAAACTTGATACCGTCTTCGTGAAGTTCCTGTAAGGGTAGAAAGGGAAACTTAAACTAATCTTAGTTATGAAGGCAATACATACAGCATAGAACTCTCTACTTATATGACGAGGCACAAACCTTTCCTTCTTGTATCTTTAAAAGCAGCTCTTTCAGTTTATCTTCTACATGTTGAACCTACAGCAAAAGGGCTCAGAGCTATTGATGCAGAATAAATAAAGCGAAAGCGACGGCGTGTGACACAGGCTTAATTGATTCAAAACACCCTACCAAACATCCAAACAAGGAGATAAAGGGAATAACGAACTAAACGCAGATAGACAAGTAATACATTTCAGAACAGTCTTAAATTACCTTCCTCGAGACTTGGTTTGCTTGCACTTCCACCCACTTGTTTTTTTTAGCGTATCCAATGGCAAAATTCTGGAACGAATCACCTAGCTTCTCCTGTAAAGCAAAAAGTTATTTTAATAGCATGACTAGCAAATCACACCATATATACAAGAACATCATATATCCATTGTAATCACCTTGAGGTCAACCAGTGAAATGCTACCTTCTTCTGGCACAGCTAAGAAAAGTTGTACCTCTGGTGATCCTTGAGTAGCATATCGCTTCCCTTCATCAGTCAAAACACACGTCTCCCATACAAGGTCCTGTAGATAGAAAAACTTAGTGGTGTGAAACTAATGTGTAAACCCAGATTCGAATGTGATTCTTCAGTGGCATTCGAGAAAAATTTCCACCGAATACTAAAACTTGTTAAGCTAACGCACAAGACCTCTAATGGAAACCCTATCAATATTTTTCTCCTCCTCGGATACAAGAATTAAGATTACAAAGCACGAGTACCTGAGCCTCGATGTAACGAAAACCAAGGAGGCTTTGGATGACACTGACGACTTGATTGTGGTCAAAGTTGTGCTCGGCAGAAAATTGACGCGAATCCGGGATCTCTTCATTGTACTGCAGAAACCCAAGGAGGACACTGACGACTTGATCGTCGTCAACAGAATTTTGAAGCGAATCCGGCATCTGTTCACTCTTCATCGCTTGCTCCGTCGGCGCAGCGTCAGGGGAATTGGCCGCTATATAGTTGGAATACAAGGGTTTGTGTTAAGCCAAAGACTCTAGACGAATGAGAAGGTTTCTCTAAAGCTAAATATTTTTATGAGTGTCACATAGGATTAAAAAATATAATGTTATCTGTCCATATCAATATTCATGCTGTGATTATTTTTATTGGATGAAAGCGAGCTACCTTTTTATTGGATGAAAGCGAGCTATCTTATTATTTATGCTGTGATTATTTTTATAGTAATATAAAAAATATTTTGGTCCATGATTTTGTGTTAAAATACGTATATGTCAGTACACCAATTGAACTACCGATGTTGAGTTCGACTATTAATTCTTACTTATAGTTCTATTTTTGCAATGCTCGTAACGAAAGAAGAAGAGTGATGATTCCGAAGTGATAATGCAGGGAGAGTACATGTTTGGACACTAATAAAAGGGACAAGACAAATCATTGTTATACTTTTCCCACCGTTCCCACCAATTATAGTAAAACAGAGAAGCTTTGGCCTTGTATACATTATATACGTAAATGTTGTATAACTAACTAAATCTCCAATCATAGAGGCGGCGGCAACGAAACTTCGGCCAATTTAACTTCTTGAATCTTGATCTTGTAATACGAAAAAATAAAATATATCATCAGTCAATTTCGTAAACCGAATACTATTATGTGGCAGTCAATCTTTATACCCCGACAGGACTGCCCTCGAAATTGGTTTTTGATCAGAATATTCCTCGTTTCTGTAAATCTCTTGTAGTTTATGATTATACTTCAGCTCTTGAAATAAAAACATTGTTCTAATTAATCATATCTGTAATGATCAAAATGACAGCATATCTTGATGATTATTCTACTATATATTCATTAAATTTTTTAATAAGCTGTTCTAACATATTTTATGCCACACTGTGAAAAATAATTTTTGGAGAAATAATCAACTAATATACATACGGTAAGAATTGCATGTTAAGACGTTGAAAAAAACACTGATTATTGTTGGCATTTTTCTCGCATGTTTGACCCATTTAGCCGCATATTTCTAATCATTATTGTCAGTAAAACAAATGTTAAAATTCACGCTTTTCACATGTTGTGATGGTAGCATCTCTTTTCACTACGCATGTGCTACATAAACGATTATACTATTTAAATATAAAATGTAACGGCCGTTTACTGTTAGTAGTTAGTACTCTTTACTGCTAGTCGTGTTCCTTTTCATAATCAGGAAGTTTGGACACATTAAACGTTAATTTTCGTAATTTTGCAATGCGCTATTTTTTTAGTTTCTCTCAGACCTTTTATATTTGTTTTTTTTATGTATTTAACTTTCAATGCATATGTAAATGTATCCTAAAACCAGATAAATCCTGGTTATGGACCTAATAATGGTAGTGACTGCCGCTAAAAAAAACTGCACTTTCTCAAATGTTTTAAGATTTTCTTGTCATTTAGAAAAAAGAGGTTGGAATTGTACGTAGGGACAGTTGATAATGTTGTATGGTTCTGTCCAATAGGTTAAATAATGTCGTTCAATTCGGTGTCGAAGGACACTTAAAAATCCGAGTGAACAGTTTTTTTCTCTTTTAGATTAGTTTACTTTTAAAATTAGTTCGAGCTAATTAATTTTGATTCTTGGACTTTAATTTAATGGTAATCCAAATTATCCAAAGTCATTTATATATATATATATATATATATATATATATATATATAACTCCTCAGTTCTGAAATACATGTTTCATTGACCAGTGTCGAGACCTATTTATATAACCCGTAGTAAATCTTGTATAAAAATTTGAAACAACAAATTTTTATAAAAAATATTATTCTTTTTACGTTTCTTCTTCTCTTGCATGTTCATTGTTTTAATGAGATTATTTTAATTTTAAAAAAGATTATCTTGCTTAGTTATACTAAACACCTAATTGGTATTATTATTTTTCTATATTTCCTAATTTTGAAATCATAACTGTTAGTTAACCAGTTAATTTTTTATGTTAGACCAAATATCTATCTAAGTGGCTGAAAACTTTTGGATGCACCTTCAGACTCATCCCAAATTCTTTTTTCTTAAAACCATTCCTTAAATTATATTGGAATAGTTATATTTCGCTATTTCTCTATGTATATATAAAAATACCCTATTTTATTTAGTTTTTTTTTTGTCGTTGTACCCTATTTTATTTAGTTAACGCATACTTTCCACTAATAGTCTATAAAGGGGGCAAAAAAACAAGCTTTCAATTTTTCTTGTGTGTGACGACTAAATCATGCCCAAATTAATAGACACGTGCTGGAATTGAAGATGCATGCACTTTCTTCCTTTCCAAATGACGGATAAAAGCCCAGCATGGAAACTAGTTTATATATTTTGTGTAAATATCAATTTATTTTTCTGTCAAATTTTGACTTGAGACTTTTTAACTTCAAAGAAATTCAAAAACGTCAATTTTAAAACTTTAATTACTATACTTTATCCAGACTGGAAAATGGTTAAATGGATAACTCAAACTAAGATCCCAATATTTTAGTTTTCAATCACAATACCTTTTCTATTTTACACTGCTCGTTTTCTTCAAATATATGTTAAAAAAAAAAAAACAAAACATTTGAATTAGTGTAGATTATTGGAACATAGAAGCATACTGATCCCTTAAGTTTATAGCGATCAGGGCATTGCTGAGTTTGGAAACTTAACCTTTAGAGTTTAGAACAAGAAAATATATTTTGATTAAAACAGAAATTTCGGTAAAATTTATCAGTAAAGGCAAAAACACCACAAATCTTTTTAGATGAAAAAGGTCTCAATCTTTTTCTTTTTTTTTCCTTTAGCAAGGTGAACAATTATTATATGATTATTCCAACTACTAGGTTTGGTGGAGTTATTTAATAACCCCCAATCAACAATTTACTATAGTTATTAATTTATTATAATGAGTAGGGACATTGAATAGCATGCATGTCTTGGTTTTCTTGGTCGTGAGGAAAAAAAGAGGGTTTTTGACCTAGCATTTTGTAATTCAACTTACCTTTCATCCTAACAGGCTAGCAGGCCCGGACAAAAAGTGATTTTGCTAAAAAATACAAAAAATTACAAAACAAATAAAAAGATAAGAGTGTTCATGCACCCGTCTCTCTTTGCTACATTGTATTCGCAAGTTGCGATATCAAACAATTATATATCAGTGGTCCACCACTATGATATCAAACAATTAATCCCACTCAATTTGATTTTTTTTTTTAAACCTAAATCTTTATATAACCACTTTATTAGTTTGGGTATATCATGTTAAACTATTTTTAATTATCTTCCTAGGCATTCCTAGTATGCCATCCCAAGTATTTTATATGAGTATCACTTATCCATTTCAGTTCCCAAAATGTCTTATGAATCCTGGAATGACTGAATTCGAAAATAACTTCATGCTTCAACTTTTTATGCTTATTAGTTATTACACCAAAAACTTTAGACCAATATGATGACTTGTTTGTAAATAGAACCTTCGTTGTATTACACAAACTTCTGAAGGTAAGTTTGCGGGAATTTTTTTTTTTTTTTTAATCTAGTTATCCTAAAAATAATCGGACGCTATGGTGAATCGTATATCTAGTGTTAACGAAAAAAAAAACAATATTTTCAACTTCACAAATCTATCTGGATTAATCTTATTAACTGCCTGAAAACTGTTTTTGAAGTGAAAGGAAGACACCATTTCTGTGAAATCGTCTTTTTATAGTCCGATTATTATAGTATTTAAATACATGGTTCAAAATGTCACATTTGTAGGAGAGATAAAATCTACAATATTTATTATTAGATTACATTCAGTGAAAAGAGTTTCCTACGTGGCCAAAAAGTTTTCTTTCTCTTCCAATTCAAGAGGGCAAAGTGAAGATCCATGATCAAGGGCTATTCTGTTTACTTGTTTAGGTTATTTTTATTTATCCACCTCATATGAATTTTACTATTTTAGTATATTTTTTTCCAGAAAAAAAAAAAACACATACTAAAAAGAATTTTTTGTCGAAGAAATTTTGGAAAAAAACCCTGACTGTCGCGGAATGGTCCAATGATTATTTGTACGCTTCGAATTCGAACCTTCTCATCTACTGTCAATATCGGAGTTTCAAGTTGCAGCCAACCGACCCCACATATGTTTAATCAATGTCTTCTGGTTATTTCATGGGTACTGTCATTTATAGTGAACGCAAGAACTTTCTACTCTATTTTTTCTTTCAAGCAATTTATCATGCAATTAATGTTATATGTTCTTAAATAAATCATCAGTTATCACAACTATAACTCCACAATAGTATAATACTGACCAAATTAGCCTGAAGCACTATAATTAAATTTATGATTAGCGAAAAATTCTATATGCTTTAGAAAGCTAGAGGTTGGAATTGTGTGTATAGCTGGTTAACTGTGTTGTCGTCGGATTCTTGTAAAATAGTTTAATCACGTTATTTCAACTCGGTGTCCGAACGCAGTTAAGAATCCTATAAACCAAATTTTCTCCATCAGATTGGTTTGCTTCGAAACTAGTCCGACTATTTAAAATTAAATAGACCCTAATTTGATGGTAATCTGAGCCATGTATACGCAGACGTGGCAAATATCTGCCATGTCATCAACCACTGATATCATCAATTTTGTCGTAATAAGCCGCCGTACGTCAGTCCCTCAAACTTGGTCTTCTTGTCCCACGTGGAACAATTCACCCACTTCTCTGTACATATTAGTCAGAGATAGATCTTACTACGTACGTATCACATCCTCTCTTCTTCTTTTTTTCTATTATATTATTATTCAATTCATTACCAATAATTATATTTTGGATGGCCCCATTTCCGTTTTTGAATTAAATGGTTATTGAGATTTTTCGAGGCAGCCTTATTGTCAATTAGATCTAGTATATACATACTAAATTATTAATATTTATCTAATACGCCCTCCTAATTCAAATATCTAAACCGTTCCAAATCTCTACGCTATATATATCCCAAACTTATTGCCACTTAAGAGAGACATTGTAAACAGAAAACCGTTAAAAAAAAAAGAGATTGAAAATATGGAATCTCAAACTACCTTATTTTCTAATAATCAAAGTCAAGAGTTGTCTCCAGAGTTCTCTTCTTCAACAAGCTCATGGAGCTCACAAGAATCATTCTTGTGGGAAGAGAGTTTCTTACATCAATCATTCGATCAACCCTACCTCTCATTTAGCCCTTGTTATAACTACTCTGATGATGACTTCTTCACATTTGGAGCATCATCAATCATCAAGGAAGAAGATGAAGAAGGAGCAACCGTCCAGACGGAAGAGGAGGAGGAGAGGGCATACAGAGGAGTGAGGAAACGGCCATGGGGAAAATACGCAGCCGAGATTAGAGACTCAATGAGAAAAGGGATCAGAGTGTGGCTCGGGACGTTCGATACTGCCGAAGAGGCGGCTCTCGCTTATGATCAGGCAGCTTTCGCTTTGAAAGGCAGCCTCGCCGTACTCAATTTCCCTGTCCAAGTCGTTAAGGAGTCTCTCCAGAAGATGGAGAATGTGAATTTCAACGATGGAGAGTCTCCTGTCATAGTCTTGAAGAGAAAGCACTCCATGAGAAACCGACCTAGAGGAAAGAAGAAGTCTTCTTCTTCTTCTTCTTCTTCTTCTTCTTCTTCTTCTTCTTCGTTGTCGACGAGTTCTTCTTCTTCCTCATACTCGTCTTCTTCATCATCTTCTTTGTCGTCAAGAAGTAGGAAACAGAGTGTTGTTATGAAGCAAGAAAGTAGTACAACGCTTGTGGTTTTTGAGGATTTGGGTGCTGAATACTTAGAAGAGCTTTTGAGATCATGTTCATGATCATATCTACTTGTACGATTTCATGAAATTTGAGTGTGCTCTGTTTTTTTTCTTAATTATATAGCTTTTTTTTTAACCTTTAATTATATAGCTTTATTATTATCCGATGAAAAGTTTTGGAGGAGAAGTGACGGCGATGTTGGAATCGTATAGACGTCTGCTGTTGCGTTATTGTTATGTAAATCTCTCTATCATAATGCGTAATTTATTAATATTTTGTTTTTTAAAGTTCTGTAAAACTGAGCCGAGGATCTATATTATGCAACCTAATTTCTTAACATGTGACTATCGGAGAAAAAAATAAGCATCGGATATACCCAAACTATAAAGATGCGTTCAAAATAAAAAACCATAAATATTTTGACAAAAAAAAACCATAAAGATGCTTTCTATCACTATTTAAAATTTAAGGACTACACAGCCTACGCACTCTGCTAGACTGCTGAATACTCTTCCCATAATTTCTTTGGTTATTCGATGGGCTAATATTTTATTTTCGTGATTTTAAATGAAAGGATGTGAGCTTAGTTCGTTGCGGTCTACATCCCAGCGGCAGCGGGATATGAGCCGACCTGCATAATATATTTTTATATTTTTATTGTATATACTAAATTTTGCATCCATGCTACGCGTGGATATTTTGTTGATTAAAATAATATGTAATTAATTATTTTTATTAATATATAAATTTTATATATTAGTGTTTTAATAATATATTAAAATATTATAGTGTTGATCTAATAATTTTTATGTACATTGTGATATTTTAACGGTTTTGTTTTGAATCTATATACAATATATCATATTTCAAAAATATATTATTTAGTCAAACACTTATATATAAGTTAATATACCAAAACCAAATAAAATTTTTACAACTTAATAAAATGTTACTTTTTAAACATAGTATTAACATGATAATAATATATTATACATTTACTTATTTAAATCAAAAAGGTAATTTTTTCCATCATTTTTACTTATAAGTTAATCTTTTTTCATTAGTTTGTTTAGCAAATACAAATTTTTATTTTGATAAAATTAATTTAAAAAACAAACTAATAATTAAAATATTTGCTTTGAGATTAATAACAACTTTAAATTTGAAACTAAAACAATAGTTGAATATGAAATGAAATCACACAAATTTGTGAATAAATATATTTTTGTCAATTAGTAGTGTATTTAAATAATTTTAAATGATTATATGTCATCTCTTCTAATAAGAATGAAATTTTCTTTTCATCTTCTTCATTTTTATTCTTGTTATATCTGTTTTTTCAATTGAATCTATTATATTTATTTATTTTAATAATTTATGTATGATTATATTCAGTTTCATCATATTCATTCTCACTTCTAATTGTAATTAAGTAGATAAAATCAGTACAATTTAATACATACAAATTTATAAAAAATGAAATAACAAATTGAACAACTCAAAACTAAGAACTTCTACATTAATATTTTGAATTCCAAATTGAATATATAAAATGTAAATTTTTGATCATTTTTGCATAATATATTACATGAGGAAAAAAATATTACATACTTTCGCATAATATATTACATATTTCGATGAAATTGTTTTGCAAATGTTAAAAAAAAAAGATGAATATAAATCATAAATATTAGTTATTTAAAATTCTACATGAAAAGTTTTAAAATCAAGTAACTTAAACTTGTATAAGTAGTTATATTTTTTATAGATAATAAATTAAATTTGTGATTTAAACAGTGATAATGGAGATTTTAATATCATGTTGATTTTTTCTTGGTTAATAAAGATTTCTTTATTTTTTAATATATTTTTAATCATAAATATTAGAATTATGAAACTTTTTTTTTAATTTATAATTTTGATATATACGAATAAAAATAAAAATTTAAATACTGATGTGGATGCTTTGAAAATAATATAGCTTTAACTATCATTAATAATAGAATAATTTTAATTAACAAATTTTCCTATATTATTTTGTATAAACAAGATTTTATAATTTAGAGAAAATTTTAATTTTAGTTATTGATGTGAAATAATAAAGTTGACCTTTTATATTTTATGTGGATGTCTTTTGAGGCATATAACTTTAACTTTTATTTTTCTTTAAATATATTTGTTTGTTAACAATATAATTTTAAAATTTAGAAATATTCTTAATTTTAAATATTGATGTTAACCAAGATAATTGAACTTTCAAATCTTATATGGACATTTTTAAAGGCATATAGCTATAACTTTTATTAATAATAGATTTAGAAATCAAAACTGAAAAATCTCACACGAGCCTCGTTGCGACAAGTGATTTTAGCTTCACCTCTTTATTATGAGGCTTCTCGAATGTATTCAGATACTGCTTGGTCAGCTAATTGTTACTTTTGTGGTTCATGTTGGGTTGTTAAAACCCATTCAGATGCTATGTTATTTCAAAACATTTCCTCAGATACCTCAGTCTCCTCCGCTATGTTTTTTTTCTCTATTTTCAGTGTTTGGTTTTTCAAAAGTGTCGAGTATCAATCACTTGATATGTTTCTCGGATTGCTTGAAATTTATCATTGTTTTCAAATTTGGTGGCCAAGCTTTGGAGATTTTATGATATCTTTTTCAATATTAAAGCGGTTTATAGTGTCTTTGTTTATATCTTTTTCATTATATTCTTTATAATTTAGCTAATAATTAAACATATACTTTAGTTAAGTTTGTTCTTGTAGTGGCTTTATTTATATCTTCATTATATTGTTTGTAATTTAGCTAATAGTTAAACATATAATTTAGTCAAGTTAGTTCTTTTACGTTGTAATAACTTATTTTTTAGTGAAACATTACTCTATCTTTTGTCTTAGTTTATTTTACATGGTTGCACACACAAGAAAAAAAACTTAAAAATTATTATAATTATGTGACAAAAAAATTGGATGTTCATATAAGAGTCTCTAAATATGTGTGTATATATCTAATTTAAATTTAAAATTTCTTATTTTAATATTGTTTATTTTAGTTTTTATTATTAATATCAATTTTATATATAATTTTTTTTACTTTTCATAATTTTAAAAACAATAATAGAATTTGGAAATTTTTCAATTTTCAATGTTGAGGTGGACCAATAATTTTTTTTATAAGACCAATAAACTTTTTTAATTTCCTTTTTCAGCAATAATATTACAATTTGTAAATTTTCTTTAATTTTGAATGTTGATGTGGACCAATAAAATTGATTTTTTAAATTCTATGTGGATACATTCTTAATTTCTTTTTTTTTCAGCAATAATATTACAATTTGTAAATTTTTCTTATTTTTAAATGTTGATGTGGACCAATTAAATTAATTTCTTAAATCATATGTGAATACTCTTAAAAGCATTTAGCTTCAACTTTTATTAGTATAAGATTTTTTTCTGTTTTATGAGAAGTTTTGTTATAATTTTTTTTAATCATAAATGTCGTTTTATAGTTTTACTTTTAGTATAAATCTCTATTTAACCTTTCATCCAAAACTTACTTTATTTGAATATAAGTTATTAATTTATATCATCTAATTAATAATATATTAAATCATAACATATTTGTATAATTTTTTAAATAAAATTGTGTGAAATTGGTCAAAACAATAGTTTTTGTAAATGCTAATTTAAAAACCATTATTATGTTATCATTTCTGTTATAAGTCATAGTTATTTCAAAATTATATATGATATATTTAGATATATATGTTTCATCATAACTTTTTAAAGTATGTAATTTTTTCTTTTCAACATCTATTATATTAAAACAGAAGCATATTTAGTACTTGCTTCCAAACACTCCTAATTTTTTTTAAGTGTTTAAAAATAATTTTAATAATTATTTATATAAATAAATATTTTTAGAGTTCCTTAAATATAGGTAATTTAGGTTTGATTTGATTTGATTAAAAATAATAAATTAGATATTAATTTAGATTTGATTTAAAGATTCTAATTTAAATAATTTTTATACTATTAAACATTTTTATAAAAAATATCTAGAATTTTTGAAAAAAAAAATTCACATATAAAAAATAATGGTCATATTTGAAATATAATAATTTATAATAATGTAAATGATATGATATTTATGTTGTTTATATAATATATTTACGATTATGATTTATTTACAAATTAATAATAAAATAATAGGTAAAATTTAAATGTATAATTTAAATATTAAAAATATATTTTTTAAAATTCATAGAACTAAAAATATATATAAAAAACCGGGTTAAAAATATTTTGGTAACTAATATCACTAATTTTGAATTATACATGTATATCGAAAATATATTTTTCATACAAAATCAAAACATAAAAAATTAAAAATTATTGCATACACTATAATGTGGTTTGAAAAACTAATTATACACTCATTTCGTTGATTAAATTTTAGAAAACTATAATACTAAATAATACTGTTAATACATCTCAAACTTTTAACAAATATTTATATTATACGGTAATATGAACGGAAAAGTTAGAATTATGTTTTGATAATAGTTCATTTTGAATTAATATTAGCGGATGGGTTAAAATTATATTTTTATAATCATAATTAATTTAAATACTATAAAAATATATCTAAACACAAAAATTAATATTTTCACTTATTAAAAAATATATTTATAAAAATAATTATATTTAAACTCCAAAACACAAATTATATAACAAAATTCGTTAAACAATAAAAAATATTCCCGTACAGATACACGGGGTTAAAATCTAGTATATAATTGAATCATCCATGAACCATCTCACAAAAAAAATATGATCGCAAGGGAGAGGTGGAGATGTTATGGGCCTGTATGTCCATCAGCGAGGATATTCATGACTGATGCTACTTTCTCTAAACATAAATTTAACTCATATTCGTTGGAGGAACAATGTTCTAAGCTTTCTTTGGACTTCAATAACGTATTTCATCTCTGTATTTTCTTTTCCTATTATATAATAAAAATTATGTAGACGTAAGAAAGAAAAAAAAATAGCTTTCTCCATATAGGTCCGCCATTGATCATATTAAACTATGAAAACGTCATTGATGATGTTTCGTTACCAAAATTATTATTCCTTTATGTCTCTGATTAGTACACTTCATCCATTTCAATGTGCAGTTTCAGTAACAAGTTACAATCCCACATCTAATTATAATACGAAATATTGCTATTGTGGTGAACTGGTGATTAATATCCATTATTAAAGTAATTAATTAGTAGCTAATATTAAATATCAATATAACATAACATAATAACATAGGTAGTTCGACATTCATAGGATTCCAACATATATTTTTTTAATCTATTTTACGTCGTCAGACCCCTTATTTCAGGTGTGGAATTTCAAAAATTATCAACTTATTTAAGTATTAGGAGACAGCGATGCAAAAATAATAGTAACAGTAATAGGAAAAACATGCAATAATCAAAAAGAAATCGATTTTTTTTTAAAAATGATCATCTCTAGTTTTTTTTTCTGTAATCTATGTTAAATTAGTTTCTAGTCGGCCTAGGGTTTATTCTCATAATTTATCACTCGCTAATGTATACTACAGTCTAATCAGTGCAAACTGCAACGCATGCGTGATACATATATTTCCCATAAATCGATTAAATCCTACCAACAAGACAATATATACACTAAACTATCTAACAACAATTGAAAGGGTTTCGTGGTAGAGTTTATCGTTACTTGCAAGTGAAGTTAGTATATATTAACTTTGATTGGGTTTGGAATCAGATTTCTCAAGTCATCCCATCCAATATGTGAAGTTGTGAACCGATCGATCATAACGCCAGCTGTACATGTTGTTGACCGGTGGTCGCGGCTTGGCCGGCGGAAAACTGCTCTCCCCTGTCATTTCTGTCGTGGCATTCGAATCAAAACATTTAATTAGTTTTCTTCTACGGAACGTTCTTATATATATAAAAAATATACTTTGTGAACAAATATATATATATATATATATATATATATATATATATATAAAAACCGTGGGTGGATGATCTTCTAAAACTAAACGAATTGAACCCAATCGCTAACTAATTCGCTCTCGTCATCTTTTTATAATCAACATGAGCAGATAAACAACAAAACAACTTTCATTTAACCAAAAAGAAAAAAAAATGGAAAAAGATAGCCATTCTCTCTCTCTCTCTCTAGTTTGTTGTGGTGTTTTAGGTGGATCATGTGACAAGTGATCTCTTTAGAGTGAGACAGTTTCAGTTGGTAACAGTCTTCACTCTTGAGATTAAAGTGTGGGTCCTCTTTTGATTCACTCAGCTTCCTTCAGCAATAACTTAGAGGGGTATTTCCGTCGTTATAAGTTCAGTATCATCTCATTTTTCTTGTTAGTTTGTTAATTATGATAGCCGTAGATTTTAATTTTATGACTACGTATTAACTTTTTGCCGTGGAGGTACGAATATTCATAGCTCTATAGAATTAATCTTTTGTTGCTACTATAATTTTAGCTAAGAAATTTTAGTTTTAAAATAATGCCTATATTTCTGTTACTTATAAATTTATAATAATGGCCATCGGAGATTTAAATCAGTTTTTGTTTGACGGAAGCATTTTGGTGCAGTGGTTTTCCACTGTGACATCCATCTACATATTTCTAAGCCTTCAACAAAATGAAATAATAATAAGCATTTGATTTAGGTGCATGTAGAGATTCTTGAAATATATATATATATATATTTTTTTTTTTTGTCAAACTTGAAATATGTATATAGAAACAAAAAGAGGGTGGGAATTTGACATCAAGATTGTAAGAGAGCATCAAACATTTAAATGTTTTAATTTTCTCAAGATTTATAAAAAGTTTAAAGGATGGAACTCTCACATATAAAATCAAGATAACTAATCGAAGAAAATTCGGTGGAAATGATTGGACGATGTTAAACCAACGAAAAAAAAAAAAAAAAGACGTAGCTGTATGTAGCTACAAGCCCAAATACGAGACATTACTAATGTGATCAGTAATCATCCATAATCAAAAGCAGCAATTACTAGCTAGAAGGAAACGCATTAATCACTGGAGTAGTTATAGCCATTATTCGTCGAAAGAGCTTCCATGTATTGTTTCTCCAGCACTTCCATAACTCTATCTGCAATCGCACTTGCATAAACACTAGATCCTTCACAAATCTGTTGTTCATCGCAACTAGTTAGTGTAATACATAATTGTGTTGTTTTTGCTCTGATATTATATAAAGGATTAAACTGAAATAATTTTATGACAAACCTTGGTATTGAACAAGAAGCTGTGGTGTTCTCCGATCTGTGCACCAGCTACATGGTGAATATCAAGCTGAAGCTGATCAATCACTTTGGAGACGAACAACAAACAGTTGATTTTCTTCTTCTGCACGATCTTGATGGTAACTTCATCGTCTATGATACGTACATCGACTTCAGTGAATTTCGATTTCCTCTTCAACCACGAACATCTCAAGGAATTGTTGTTCTTGTTGATCAAACACTGTTCCACTACTTCGCTTTGCGCCTTGTATTTGCCATCAACGAAATCATCTCCTTCTTCTTCGATCCTGACTCTCTTGTTCCGATTTTTTATGATTCTTTTCTGCTCCATTAGCATCTTGAGATCCTCGATGGTCCTTAACAACTCTTTGATGTAATCTATCGCTTCTCCAACGATTGATGCTCTGTCATTCTTGAGAGATAGCAAAGAAAACAAACAAGATCAAAAAAGGGTTTAGTTCGCAATGTTGATTACTTGAAGAAGAAGTTAGGGTATAATGAAGTAAGTAAACCAAACCTTGGTGGGATTTGGAATTAGACTCTTCAAGTCACCAAACCGGTCTTTGAAGTGAACTCTTCGCTCGCGTTCAGTAGGGAAAATTTTCCGCTTCCTGGATCCTCTCCCTTTACGGTTAAGACCAATCTCGGTGTTGTTGTTTTCTTCAGCATAGATCAAATGATCGTCCACTCCATTTGACTCCATTTGATCATCCTCAAGTACTCCAAGTAAAGCCCCATTAGGAGGCTGCTGCAAAGGGAAATTCAGATGGAAAAGCGGGTCGAAGGCGGTAGAGACAGAGGAAGATGTCATGATGAGATCTTGAAAGTTAGGGTTTGTGAAAGGCGGAAGTGAGGATCTAGGCAGTTGCAAGAGACTGAGTAGGTCAGGAGTTGTATGATTTGGACCCAAATTCACAAAATCTTGGTAGCCACTGTCCCAATTGTTAGAATGTGGCGCATACGATGATGGATCTTGAAGGGTTTGATGCATGATGCTCTGGAATTGATGATCACAGTTATTAGGAGGAGTAGCGTTGATTTGAAGCTGCTGATGAACAGAAGCTGCGGCTGCGGCGGCTAGCTTTTCGCTCCCCCTA